ATAGATAGATAGATAGATAGATAGATAGATAGATAGATAGATAGATAGATGTAATTACAAAGTTAAAAGGTATCCTAGTGCTTATGAGATTGCTGCAGTCACCTTAGGTCCTCTTACTTCTGCAATCAGGCCCTACCTGCATTCACATCCTCATTTCCATGGAAGGTTGAACACCATACACTGGTCCTGAATGATACACATCCTCTGTCTAGGAGATATGGTAGATTTCCCACTTAGCCAATTATTTGGAATTCTCTTCTCTCTGCAATCCCATCATCCTCACATTCCTCCTATTCCGTAGGAGCGCTTGGATGCTCAGGGCTCCTGTGTCTTTTTCTTGTGTTCAGACTCACTCTTTATCATTCTAGACTAGTCTTATTTGGGTACAGGGCCTTGTTAAACTTCCCAGAGAGTACAGGGCTCTGTGCCAGGTGCTGGATGAATACGCTTTGAAGAAGTATCAGATCTATGCAGAAATAATTAGCTGATGTTGATACGGTAGCAGGACATTCAGGTGCAATTGAACTGACCATGCAGCTTCCCTGAGAGACTCTCTTGAGGTTGGGGCATCTCTCATCGCTATCATTTGTTGGCTTCCCTGCCTCTTTAGATGATTTCAATACATTATAGTGCTATGGCATGCTGAGAGACAGAGTTTGAGAACATCTTTTGGAAAATGTGGCATTATCAACATCTTCTGCCCATCTCTCTCCTTCCCGTTTCCATGCAAAAATCTGGAGAAAGGAATGAGAGGTCCTGTTCTTAGGGGAGAGGTGAGATGTTCATGAAGAAGAATACTGTTTCGTGGCCCTCTCTGCATTTGAGGGTTGGGGCTCAGAAGCAATTGCTTACAGCGTGTGTGTGTGTGTGTGTGTGTGTGTGTGTGTGTGTGTGTGTGCACGCGCGCGTGCATAGTGGTTATTGGTCATGTCAGCACTCAAGCTGGCTGACTTTTCACTATCCTGTACCTGGAGTGGTACAGGAGGACATTGGAGACATGAGGCCATGGAAGAGAGAGACAAGGACAGCTTTTGAGAAGTGACTTTTACACATAACTAGGAATGGCCCTGCTTAGATTACCCAACTCAGATGACATTGGAGATGTAGGGCTCCTCAGGGGCTTTCTCACTGCATGAGTGGGTGCTTACTGCATGGAAATGAAATCCTTGGCTGTTACCTTGAGGTGCCAATCAAAGAAGAGTGCCTGAACCAAGGCAAGCTCCTTGGGATCAAATCTCCCTTCAGTCAGGCCGGGTGAGGACTGTCTGCCCTCACACTAACCATGACTGGCAAAGGCATTACATTTTGCCATAGGTAGTGTGGTAAACAAATACTGCTCCTCTATTTGGCTTCCACACCTCCTCTTGGAGCCAAGTTTGGAGTAGGGGCGAAGGAATGGGAGAGTGAAAACCTCCATGCCAACCAAGGACTTCAAGTCACAGGCCTGACCTGCACTTAGAGTGGGAATGTGTGAATGGAATATGAGGCCAAAGCTCCCAAATGAGAAGGATTAGGTCTTAACAGCAGAAGTGTGTTTCCTTTATCCAGTGAGAATGACCGAAAGCTGAGGAACTGACTGAGAAGCCACCGTGGAAGAAGGCTACAGGAAACACGGAGCTGACTTCTATTTAGATGGTGAAGGATGATACTTATCATGACGTTTATTCCTTTGTCCCCACAGGGGACACTGTGGTCAGACACAGCCGAGCTTGTCAAGATGTATCCCAAGTAGGCTGTCACTTTCTATTTCAGGGTCACGGAGAGCCTAAGGTTCGGTGTGAGATCTGGCTTGATAACCTGGCAATGTAATAAGCGTCTGAGCCAGGAGACCAACGGGTCACTGCTCTTTCCACTGAGCCACCCAGCTTTCCCAGCGCAGAGTGCCTACTGTGTGCAGGAAACTTTGCAGAGTCCAGTTGGAGCTTTACCCAGACTTTAAAGATGACATACATCCAAATGCAATTAACTAACCGTCGAGAGCACGTATTCCCAGGGAGCACAGGACATCATGTGCAGCGTGAGACCAATCAGAGTGAGTGGTGGTCTTATGTGTTCATTAAGGCCCTTCCTCAGTCCTGCATGAATCCCATTTTATGCTTCCTCTCTTAAGTTGCTTTCTGGGCGGTTTTTCGTCCTAAGATCAATCCACCAATATATTCTGAGAACATGCCTTACAATAATTGATCCTTCAGAAGTCATGTTTCCGGGCACAGTTGTGTTGGAAGTTTCCAGTGTCCTGTTTAGGCAGGAATGTCTCCTTCTGTAGTGCTGTGTTGTATTCAATCATTGGCATAAAACTCAAGGTCGGTAGTGATGGTTTTAGAAATAGGAGCAGTAACTGACATTTTCTTTGGGCTGTTCTGGCTTTTTAAATCCAGTTCTGAACATTGATTTCTTTATGACAGTATAGTCTGCTCAATGCAGAACAACTCTCTAAAAAACTTGAAGCGTAGGACAGAAGGAGGGGTGTGGAGTTTAAATGTAGAGGGTCTCCACACCCACTTCATTGGGAAGACTTTGCCCCTGTTGGTCCTTGTTGCCATGGAGCAGAGAAACTTCACAGGAAAACGCTTCCTCCGCTTTGTAAAGGAGGACTTCAGTCACATTGAGCTCAAACCCAATGGGCTGTGAAGTGTATTGGACACGGGAGCCTTTGTACTTGCCACCCTGCTGTAGGATTCTTGGCGGTTTCCTGATTTCAGCTCTTAATGATTGTACAATGGATAGGGGAGTGGGATTCTAGAAGATGCAGCAGGGCCTCCATTGGGGACTCTGATGAGTGCATGTCACCAGACTCCACAGCTGGAGGCACCCAGGAAGGTTGCAGCACCTTTCAAAAACTTCCCAGAAAAGAAGTCAGTCTCTGCCCCGCACATTAGCTGTAGACAAGAATACGTGCTGCAGAAGCTTCGTAGGCCATCTTTAAGTAAAGAAAACCAAGGACTCTGAAAAATGGCTGCTCAAGTGGCTCTGAATCCATTGGAGACCATAAAAGAACCTGCTTTTAATCCAGCTGAACATAACACTTCTGCGGATGACTAGCAGAGACTGGGGCAAAGGTGAAAACAAATCTTAGGATGGATGAATGTATATCTGGTTCTAGACCGTGGTCACCAATGATTGCTCATAGGGCCTGTAGAAGAGATGGCTGTCGGGGTCTATGCTAAGCCATCTCTTTTCTCTGAATTGTTCGAATAACTTCCAGGACTAATCTCTCATGGATTATTAACCTCTGTAGTAGGAATCTCTTGACTACAAATAAGAAAGAGTGGTTTTTAGAAGATTAATCAGAGGGAAGGTAATTCTGTAAGTCTCCAAGCACCACCATCCGAACAACAGCAACCCCCTAATAAACAAGCAAAACAAACAGAAACTCCCTGGGTACCACATGTGTAGATGTATGTAAGCAACATCTCTCTGCCTTCTTCCACCTCCTCTCACTTTCCAGTGAAGGTGAAGCCATCTTACTTAGGAAGAAAGCACTAGCCACTTTTTCAACTGATTCAGCATCTTTTCGCATCAGGATGGAGGATGTTGAAATTGCATTTTCTTGAGACTTTTGTGCTAGAGAGGATAAATCATGTTGATTCACAGAGATTAAAAGTAATCACATAAATAACTGGTCCACGCTAAAGAGGAGTCTGAAGGACCCACTGGTGTGGTGATCAGGCCTTTAAGGAAAGTTGAACTCATTGTTTCCTTAAAGTCTGGAGCAAAAAGACAAGTAGGGATGAGATGGGTACAATCTTCAAGGGTTGCTGGCTTGATCAGCTTTGATTTGTGGGTGAGCCTAACTGCAAAGGACAACCAGTATGGAGGGGAAATTCTGAGCTGGAATGAGCAGGAAGAAAGCAGGTGAGTAATCAGAGCTAGCCCCACAGGAGAGGTGACACACCCAGGCATTTGCCTGGATAAGGGCATAGACTGGATCTGGAAGCATCTGTCCCTGGAGCTCCAGGCTGACTGCAGAACAGAACAGGAACATCTCTAAGGTTCAGGCAAATGAACCTGCAAGATCTGCCCAACCTGCTCGTGGGAGGCTGGAGTCCAGCCAGTGAATAAGAATGTGGAAGTGAAGTTTATTGGGCAAAAGCTTGGTAAGGTATAGGAAGGCAGCTGCTGCTCCATCCACGGTGAGTCACATTGATAGAGAGAAAGGGAGGTGAATGATGGGGTCGTGGTAGAAGAGGAGAATAAAGTCAGAGTAGTGCAGGCTACTGTGTCTAGGGCTGGTTGTTCAAAACCTGCTGAGAGACCGAGTATCTATTGAACACCATATTGAACAGTGCAGGTGTACTGAGCTGACGATATTGCCCCCTCTCCCAGGTTGATACAGTGGGAGTGTCAGAGAGGAAACTGGAAGGGGCGGTGTCAAGGGCAGGACCATTGATGCATTCACAGCAGCTGTATCAGTGCAGTGGAATCTAATTCCAGAATTAGGTTGTCGAAGCAGCAAACAATAGACATATTTGCTCATAGCCCTGAGTTTGGGTCCTTCACATGCATCTTCACATACATGCCAATGCAGCTGTCTTAAAGCCATCAGCAATGTTTCTACTTTGCAGATGACACTGGAGCTGTATCATGTCAGATCTCTTGACTGGCATCATATCGTTAGCAAGTGCTGGGGGTGGCGGGGAGAGGATCTGGATTTGGGTCCATTTTGACTCCAAAACCTGTGCTTTTGGGCCCGTATCAAAGCCCAGAAATAGAAACTACACACAGTTAGAAGCAGAACTCTGTTAGGCTAGCTCTACTCAGAGACACAGGAAAAGATAACAGAGTTTACAGCATGAGACAGAGGAAGAATTAAAATAGTGCTTTTAATATAATTTTCAGCAAATGTACAGTATACTTTATATCATGTATCTCTAAATTGCTCATCTGGAAAATATAAGCTGCAAAAAAAAAAACACCAAAAATACAGACTATCACGCTCAGAATCTATTAAGTGTGTGCTTTTCTTCCTCTCCTCTTCTGGGAACCTGGATTTTTACACCCTTCTGTTAAAGTCCGGTCTCTGGTGGTTTCTTTGGAACTGTTAAGAGTTAAGAGTGTTCCATCAGAGAAGTATCCCCCAAAGGGGGAAGTTTCTAAAGCAGGTCAGAAAGCCATCCTTCAGAAGCTGGAAGAGAGACAGGCCAAAGGAAATTTGCACGTCAGGTCAACCTTGCTTCTTAGGAATGATGCCCACTCTGGTGGCCTCCTGAGCACATGACACCTCCTTAGTCCTTGTCACGGGCCTGTGCTTGAAGCCTCAAAGGACCAGACACTGGATCATCCACATGGGACCCCTTGGGTTCCCGGGCAGGGCAGCGCTATGTCAGGCCTTGAGGTCTGTGAGCGGTAGTGGTGGCGGCGGCGGCGGCAATGGTAGGCTCTGCCATCAGCGAGGGCAGCCCTCAGCTTCGCACGAAGGAGTCTTCTGAGGGTGACTCAGGGCAGGTTTTCTCAGTCTCAATATCTTGGTACTCTGTGCCTAAAGGGGAAGGAGGAAAGAAGAGCCAAGAGGAAAAAGAGATGGATCTTTTCTGCATTTCCTACTTTCTATTAGACTTACATCATAGCGTCACGGCTTTCCAGTGAGAGGAATGTGCAGGAAGGAACGGCGGTAACGGGCTAGCTTTCTCTCCAAGTCCAAGAGCATCTATGCAGGCTCCATCTCTCAAAGTCTCTCAAAGCATATATATGTGTCCTCTCATATCAATACTCATTGTGGGAGCGAGCAGATGTACCCCAAGCCTGACCTTTTTCTTGTACGTAAGTCACCAGTAATTGATCTTGTGTCCAAGTGTTACTTGGACTCCAAGAGTCATTCTATGTCTTTATTAAAGAGCAGGCTGAGTGCCAGGGAGAACCTCTTGAACCACAGTCATGCTTTCTCCTGCAGCACTGGGGACCAGTTCATTGTCCATTCATCCAGACAGTCCCTGTGTGTCAAGTGATGCAATCGCCTCACTGCGGCCAGGTCTGAGGAAATGTTACGCCCCTGTAAGTGATGCTGTGACTTTATGTGAAAGGTATTAACAATTTATCTCATCCCTGTGGCAATCTGCAATCCATGCAGGACTCATTCATGGTGACAGGTGACTTTTTTTGGTAAACGGAGACCATAGAAACCCCTGGCCATTGATCTGTTCTCTTTCTATGTTGACCTGTTAGTTTAAAAGGTGACACCAGTCTGCACTCAGCATTTCAAAGCTGAGACTTGGCCCATCGAGAAAGAAGCCCATGTTCTTACAGTCTTGGGAAAGCTCACTGGAGAAGAACTCCCCACATGACTATTTTTCCAAAAGCATGTCAGAATGCCAACTCCACAGCCCTCTGTGGAGGAATGGGAGGGAGGAAATGCACGTATGGGTTGGCACTGCTCTTTGGGGCAGGGCAGGAGTGAGAGCGGGCACTGCTTCTTACTCAGCACAACAGGCTGGGAAGCATTTGGCGTGGCTAAGGTGGAAGAAGGCAGACTTTTGCCAGGTCTCTACTTGTTAGAGCAAAATCGGCTTTCTCATTTTACGGTCCTGGGTTAGCAGGCGACCTTTCGCAGAGATCTTACTTCTAACTCTTGGCTCATTTCTCTGGCAAACTATCAACTCCCAGTGGGAGCAGGACAGTCTTGTATCAGGACCCTGTCCCCTCGCCATCCCTCCTCCTTGTGGAAGGATGTTCTGTTGACTTCCATGTTCCCACTTCGGTGGTTGTGTGCTGGACTAGAAAGGGCCCTAGTTCAGCAATTAGGAAGACCTGGTACTGACTCCCAATGACCAAACTAGTTGGTGACCTTGGGAAACTTGAGTTTTCTTGGCCCTCCTTGTCCGATCTGTAGAGAGGGGGGAAATGACTTACCTGTCAGGGATACCCCAAGTGGGCTGCTGGGGTCAACTGGGATTCTGCTGGGATTCTGCATTCTTGGATGTGGCATGCAACTGGTAGGTTCAATAAACAAGAGCCCCCAAGCTCTTCTCCCTTTTTGGTCTGGATTTAAGCTCAACCTGTGCTTTAGTTGTGTTCCTCTAACGCGCTCCCTGCATTGCACGGTTCTACCTCATTTTATGGCCTCAGATCATAAATCAAACATTCTTGCCAAATTTGCCTCCACGAGAGCCACCTTTTATTTGGTTAGCATGAACTTAAGAAAAACAGTGAGGGGACAGCAAAAAATTTCAACCTACAGAATGTCGCATCTCCCGAAAATTGGCTGCATTATTCCATTTGCTCATAGCAAAAATAATAATCACTTCTACCTTATGGAAAAATATTCAAAATGTATGATTATTATCAAGCCCTGATTGTCGACTTGAGCTGTTATTATAAAAATGGAAATGTCTAGGTGCTCGGCTATTCAAAGCCAGCAGTCTGGAAAGAGTAAGACACAGCGTACGTTTAACATGCCTGGAGCCCCCGAGTCAGGGATGAGCGTATGAGAAGGATGTGACCATATCTGGTAGGAGGCAGGGGTTGGGAGCTCCTGCCTGGTACTGAGAATAACCTCCAGGACTCTTGATTCATTTCAGAATGCATTCCTTGTTTCCCTTCACCTGCTCATCTTGGGTGGAACACCTTGTCTGCATGGACCACTGGGATAAGGGATAAAGAACATCCATAGCTAAAAGAAGGAGAGTAGACACTCTCTCCAGAATACAGCTGCCATGGTGTCCTGCTTATTATACCACGGGGCATATAAGAGTGGGAGGCCTAGTTCATTGAAGTCAGAGACTTTGAGATTAGGTATTTCCTGGAGGCAAGGAATGAATGAGGCTCCCTTATATCTACCTTGGTAGGGAGGGAACATTCATCATGGTTACCAACAGGCACTTTGGACTCATGCTTGGGTTTGAATTTTGGCTTTTCTCATGACCGTGAGCCAATTCTGCATGCTTCCAAGTCTCATTTTCGTCCCCTGTAAACTAAAACTAGCGATAGTTCCTGCCTCGCAGGGTTAGTGTTAAGATGAAACGTGTTAATGCATGTAATCAGTTCAGCCCAGCAGCTAGTTCAGAGTAAGTACCCGATAAATGTTAGAGACTGTTACTATTAGCTATGACTGGTGCTTACCAATTATTCTCCCTGACAGATTGATTAGCTCTGAAGTGCCAATGTTTTATGTTGGTGCTGAGGAGGGAGAGGAGGGAAAGGGCTTGAAGACCCATTCAGTATCTGGATCCACTCCTCTTTCCCTGTTTCTTGTATTTCTCCCTCATGTGTACGTATCCACCATTTAAGGGGAAAAAGTTGGGTCAGTCTAGTTGAAATGCTAAGTGTCAGGCTGGAAGGGACGGTAGGTTCTGTAGTTCAAATTCTCAACTGTACCCAGGAGAAAAATAAGGTTGCCTAAAACTCCAAAGTTGGACAACAAAGGGGAACTTTCTTCCTCGTTGGAAGCAAGTGAGATGCTTGAATTAGATTGCTGTGGCCAGGGACATTAGTGTTGATGTTCACCTACTCTAGGACCCTTTGGAGAAACGACACAGTCAATGTTATGGTCAATATTTAGGTGCCAGATGCGCCCTACTTATGCAGAACGGATGGTGTCTCCAAGACATTTAGTGCTGCCTCAGCACACCATGACCTTCCTTTCAGCTATTAATTGTTTTTGTAAATAACTTTATTGGTACACAGCTTGGGCATTGTTTCACTTATTGTTCTGAGTTGATCTGGGGTGACAACACAGGGTAAATAGTTTTGACAGTTTGCTGGCCTAAAAGGTTTGAAGGATTTTACTAGACAGTCCTGAACAAGAGTAATGTGTTGTCCTTGCTTTGGTGACTCTGTGTATGGTGATAGGAGTGACTTTTTCCTTCATCTGTTTAGTAGGCACCCGGGAGACACCCACTGTTATTTAGTCTCCAGGATCCCTTCTTCTCTTTCTCTCTCCTCTTTGATTACTACAGCTATCAATCAAAACTTGCTATCAGCATGAGTGGGCTCTGAGTCATTTCTCACATGCAGACAGAACCTGGCTCGGAATGTTCTTTTGTTTGTGTTAAAAATCTGTCCAGCTTACTGAGCTATGAGCTCTCGGAGGAGAGGAGCCATGCGCCTAGCCTATAGGATGGCACACAGCCCAATATTTTTACTTTAGATAAAAGAATGAATACATCACGTTCAAACACCACATCCTTGAGAAAAACAAACCCTTAAAGAAAAAGTATGCTAGCATAGATGGCCTCTGATAAGTGTAAGCTCCTGTCTTCATCTCCAAGGCAGGCAAACACTCCTGAGGTATGGGATCATCTTTGCTTGACTGAATTTCCCAGTGTAGGTTTGCCAGGTCATGTTGATCCTGCCATGGCTCAGGAGTAGCTGAGGTTCCTTAGAGGGTGTAGAACAAGGGAGGAAATGTAGAGTAAGGGGTTCCAGGGGTTCCACAAAGAAGTGGTCCCTAACAAAGGCCTGCAAGCAACAACTTTGGACTGCCAGCATGGCTCTTGAGTGGCAATAATACTCTAGAGGAGCTGGGACCCACAGCCTGTCACTTTGGGTCAGCTGCCCTATGAAAGTGGGTTTTGAGTCAGAGAGGAAGAGTTTGGTGTGGATTGGGTGAGGCAGGACATCGTGAATGAAAAGAGAAAGCAGAAGGAAAAAGGCTATGGTTGGATCCCAAATAAATTTCCTAAACCAGAATATATTTCACAACCATTCTCTCTTGAAAAACGTGGTAGCTCTTATGTATTTAACCTGGATTCTTAACTTAAAGGTGAAGGTTAATTGTGTTGAGGGAAAACCCAGAGGAACTTTCCAGGCTCTACTTTTTGGTACTGCCCCTGACTCCTGGACAGAGAGCTGGCTGGCCCATCCGTCAAAATAACCAGACCAGAACAGTAATGGCCAGAAAATACTTTCCATCTGTTAGACTGTCAGGGGGGCGGGGGGGAGAAAGCCGCTCACCTGGGTCTCCCTGCTCATCACAACCAAACCAAACACACAGCAAAAACAGAGCAAGACTCCAATAAACAGCAACGGTAGCTTGCTTATTCCATCCTTGTCTCTCTCTGTGATCAGATAGTTGATTTCCACATACTAAGAAATGCTTTAAAAACTGTCATGTAGATCTTATGACACACCCCATGGTTGACAAGCTGGGGGGGCGATGAGAGAACCACTCTTCCCCTGGACCAGAAGCAGCAGATGGTAAGAAAGTCAGATGGGCAGACTGGTAACCAACAACTGTGTTTCCTCCAGAGCATTTGTCTGTGAGTTTCCATGCATACTTACACTTTCTGGGTTCCTTCAGAAAAGCTCCCCCGGAAGCTACTAGAGAGGAGGGACTGACCACCATATCCCAATTATAAACTCAGAAAATCCTCGGGGCAGTGACTATTGGTTGGGTGGGTGTCCTTGTGTAGGACATTCCTGTGGGTTATGTCAGGCCTACAAGATTTTTCACAGTGTGAGGAGAAACTCCAGGGCATCACTAGATCTGGGGATCTAAATGGATAAGATACCACACACAACCCTACTTAAAAGTCACCCCCAGAGCAGCTATCCCACTGTGAGGTAGAGAAAAGGAAATGACTGTTAGTCACGCTGCCTTCCTGAACTGTCCAATCGTTCCTTGGGGGGGCTCTTGGTCTTTATTTTTTTTTATTATTCTGCTGTTAAACACTAACAGTGAGATCCTTAGGGGTCCGTCCCAAAGGACCCTCTTGCTCTTTATTTGCTGTGAGAAGAGTCTGGCCATTCTGTGGCTTTGTTATTATCCCCAGGGTATCAGAGCATCATGGCCCTCCTTGTGGAGGTGGGGAGCGAGTAACAGAGACATAGGTGTCCCTGACAGCACACAACCTCAGCTAATGGAAGAAAAGCAGGTTTCCTACACATGGGAAGCAACACAGGTACCGAGCCTAAAACCTGCGTGGTCTTACATGGAAGAGACATAGAGATCTGTCAGAAGCCACCGCAGAGACCTTTTCATCCATCCTTGTGTGGATTCAACTAAGAGGGTGGAGGGACGACCTCAGAAGACAGAACTCCGATTTCGTTTTTTAGATCTTCTCTGTTCCCCTAAGGTTTGCTTTCTGTATGTTCAAGGGAGATCTTAGCAGGACAGTTCTCATGCAGAATGCCACTCAAAACCAGACAACCAAGGGGCTGGATCTAGCCTTGGATGCACACTGGTTTGTTTTTTTTATATATATAATCAAAAGGAAAGTTAAAAGTCGATTGAATGTTCTCTTCTGTCATACATGAGCAAAATTGAAAAATTTAAAGATAGCACAATATTCATTGAAATCATTTTGCCACAGGGAGATTTTAAATTTATAAATAACTGTTGATAAACATGGGCCCTGGAGTTGGGTTCCTTTGTTGTCTTTGAGGACATTTTAGGGAAAAAAAGAAATCCAAGATACAAAGAGCTTAAAAATTATATTTTTTTTTTCAAAAAGCAAATCAATCTCATGAAACAAAGTGTACATCCCAGGGCCTCAGTTTGGAGAGGTTCACAGCAGCAGAGAGAGGCCAGTTAACCTAGTAGCCATTCATTTTCAAAACAAGACAGAACAGAAACCTGTTTGGAATGTGACCAAAAGCCTTCAGAGCGACAGAACTCACTTCATGAACTGATTGGAGAACCATTCCCCCTTTCCTAGTTATAGACTCGATGAACACCCTGCCTGTGTTCATGAACAAGGCTAGGCTAATGCTAATCTGTTTTAGATGCACCCTGAAGGAGGCAGCGGAGCACAGCCACACGGCCACACAGCCTTCTCTAGGTTATCTTGGTTTGATGCCTCCTCCAACTTGGAGCTATCATCCAGATCTCCCCATTTACACGGTCTGTTAAAAAAAAAAAATCTGGCACATCCCCGTCTCTACTCTTCTGGCATTTATTCTTTCATTGCTTCAGGAGAACTGTAAATGGCTGTTGACGGTGAAAAATAAAACCAAGCATCCTTCGTGGTCTATTCCAGGGTATGTCTACAACACAGGTCAACAAAAAGGCATGAAGGGTGATCTGACTAGGCCCTTTGCTATGCATGTATGTGCCCCCTTCTGACCCAGTCCCTGAAGACAGTGGCCGTACTGTCTTGAACATGCTGGTGCAAGAGATTCCCCTACAGGACTCCTATCCCAAATGACCGTGCAGGTCTCTGAGGTTCAGCCGCTTTTGACACACCGAGTTCAGGATTGACCTGGGACCTGGCACTGTCATTTTCATGCACTGAACACGTGATCACTTCTGCACTTGTGGCTTTATGATGACAGATACCACAGCCCACTCAACAGAGACCACACTTCCTCTCTCTCCTGTCTCCAGGAGCAAGGTTCCCATCCACACAAACCCACGTCTGAGCGAGTCTCCTTCACAGGCTAAAAGGAAGGCCTGTTGCAACATGAAGCATGAATATGAAAGTGCTTCCCATGACAGTGACATCACCATGGGGAACAAAGCCAGAAGGCAGATTTGCAGCTTGTCACGTTATCCCAGGATCTCAAATGTGCATCTTTTAAAGCTGCATTTACACTCTTTCTGGAGTATCTTTTTCTTAGAACACGCTGTGCATTTTTCTGCACGGTATCAGAATGAGGATAAAAATGACAATGGATTAATTGCATCCCTTGAATCACTTTATATTTTTGGTGCATTAAAAAAAGGAGAAAAGTGAAAGCTTTGTTAGTGACTGAAGGGTTAACACAGACTCAAGAAGTAGTTAAAAATAGTATCAGAGGATTATACATACAACAGTTGGAAATTCGTACGCTTTGTAATTTTTTTTGTTGTTTTTGAAAAAAAATGGTAAAATGTTTGGCAAATGTAAGCAAATGACTTGGGCTATGTTGGGGCTCACAGGCTCTGAGCAGGTCAGTCATAGCCAGGTGAGGCCCACAGCTTCCTGAGGTCACACTGTGGGGCTAGTTGGGAGGAGGTGCTAGGTGATGGGGAGGGACATACCCCCCCACACACCCAGCTCCCCCTTGGGCCCTCAGTCTTGATATGGAAATGGAGCTGGTGAGAGGTGCCAACCACAGACTCCAGTCCGGATGGCCCATCAGCATCTCTCAGAGAACTCTGGGGACTCGAACCACACGCAGACTGGGTGAGTGGTCTACACAGTGACCCATATTGCGACAGTTGGAGAGAGGAGTGGGGGGCTTCCACCCCTCCAACCTGCACACCCCCCACCCTGACGGAGGGAGAGGGTGTCACTAGTGCTTATTCTGGCCATGTTTCCAACTTGAACTTGTGATTTTAGTAGACTCATTTTTTTTTAAATGCCTTTAAAGTTTTGCACGTGTGTGCATATCCAGAAACGTCCATCCTCCAAGCTGGCCACAAGGGTTCCCTGAATTTGGCAGTGCCTGTTGCTTGTAGCTGTTGGCATCGTGAAAAACCATGAGGTACCTTCCAAGCAGAGCCCAGCAGTGTGCGTGTCCTCCAGGGCCATCCCATCCTCTCTTTATTCTGAATCCTGACTGACTCTGAATTTCTGAATAAGACAAAAGTCTTTGTGTGTGTGTGTGTGTGTGTGTGTCTGTCTGTCTGTCTGTCTGTCTTTGAAATCCTTTTTTTTCTCTCTCTTTTTTATTAAGAAAAAAATGACCCTTTGTTCACAGAGTTCAGCCCTCCTCCCGTAGTCACTATAAGACGGATTCCATGTTTTCACACCACTCATGGTCTTCCAGGTTATAGATAAACTTTGTCCTATGTGTCTGGTGCGCGGGCACAGGGTCCCTCCCCAGATTGTCTAGGGTCAGAGTAGAGGCAAAGAACTCACTGGTGCTCAGCCCGCCCTCGTGGTTTTTGATGTAGCGTTTATAGTTTTTCCGCAGGCACTGCCACGTGGTGGTGTAGAGGAGGAAGGCAAAGGACTTGAGCGCAATGGCGATGCTGACGTACAGGTATCTATAGACCACGTTGTCATAGAGGACGCAGGCGCCTTGCTCCCCACAGAAGGTGCTCCAGAACAGACAGGTGGAGTCGATACCAGCCCCGAAGATGAGAGGTGGGGGGATGAAACCTGTCAGAAGGAAGAGACCAGTTCAGATTTTTGGCTCAGTTGGATAGTTCACGGCCAAGAAGGGATCTTCCATCCCTGGCTGGGCATTTGTTTATAAGACTGTTCGGAGAATACGCTGGATTGCTAGGCTCCACCGTGCAGTGGTTCAAACCACTGGAACACATATCCTAGTTCAGCCTTCGTTATCCAGGCGAAATCATTGAGCTCTCGATGCCCGAGGCTGGCTAACCTAATACATGAAAAGCATTTGGGATGGTATGTGTTGTGCCTGGTAACTGTAAACATCGTAAGTGACAGCTGTCATTATTCTGGGATAGGAAAATGTCTTTCCCGGAGCCTTAGTGTTTGTCAACCTCCCAGAGGGAATCTCAAGGAGATGTGTGGCTCTGCTCACTGCCCTGTTGCGTGGGGTTTGCACGGCTGTGTGAATGCCCAGTGGAGGGACCAGCGACCAGAAGAAGAATGTGGATACGTCATACCGTGTGAGCACATAAATAGACACAGTTATAGTGTAAAATGGGACATGTGATAAACATACTCGTGATTAGTGTTGGTCTAGTTACTAAACTGGTGTGAATTCTTTTTATGTGGAACTGATACCAGATTCCCACAGCAATCACCGTAAATGCTTGATGAGATGAAAACTGTCCCCATGCTTAACTCAGGTCCAGGGCAATCTGCTGATTTATTTGTCTGTTCTCAATCCCTTCAGTCCAATGCCATTTGACCTGACTTAGGCCACCCGCAGCCATCAAAATCCTGGTGTTTATGTTTACGATACAGCTTCATCATTACATGTTCGCTTCTTTTTTAAAAAAATGGGGTCTTGCTACATTGTATAGGTTGGACTTAAACTCACGGGCTCATGTGCACGGGCTCATGTGATCCTCCTGTTTCAGCATTCAGTGTAGCTAATTCCAAGTACTTGGGTCCTTACTGCCATCCTGGGCTCCATCATTTGTTCTCTCTCTCTCTCTCTCTCTCTCTCTCTCTCTCTCTCTCTCTCTGTGTGTGTGTGTGTGTGTGTGTGTGTGTTTGTGTCTCTGCGCACGTGTGTGTGTGTGCACAAATCAGAGTTTATCATTCAGTGTTGTTCAACTGGATTTGTCTACTTTGTTTTCTGAGACAGGGTTTCCGATTTTCTTGGAACTTGCCAGTTTAGTTATCCTGGCTGCTCAGGGACCTCCAGAGATGCAACCATTCCTGCTGCTTCCCCAGCATTGGGATTACAATCCTTTTCTGTTTGTTTTAATGTGAGAATCTGGTCCTGCTTGCATGGCAAGCCTGAGGTTTGATCCTCAGCACTGAAAAAAAAAATCCTAGGTTATTCTGGTCTGTTTTGAGGAGCCTTATTTAAAGGTTGGGGAAAAAAATGAATAAGTTAACAAGTTACTAATACAAATCCATTGTTCAGGATTTCTAGCACTCCCTGAGGCTAGACTACAGGACCAGCGACCTTCGGTGACAGACCTCAGTTGTAACACAGGATGGCTGCAATTAGATGCAGACAATCCTGAGATGGTAGGACTGGTGTGCCAGTCCTGGAGTGTTCCTTCCAGGGTCAGTCCTGGACATAAAATTTCACTTTTCACTAAAGTCTACCTGAGGATTTGATTACACACAGATCCTCTGTCCAGAAAAATAGACATATTCTCCAAAACCAAGCACATGGCTTAGGGGTTCAGAGAACTGTTTCGTCAACCCACAGTGGAAAGAAGTCTTTCAGATGTCTAGATGATACAGCACCACCATACTGAGGGGGGGGGGTGCATATCTATGGGAGAGCTGCATGGAAGCTTCAGCACCTCCCTTACCTCCCTGCTTTAAGATGGTCCTGAACGGATTGCTGGGTTCTATCTTACCCACTTCGGAACTGAGAGGTTGGCAGAGCCGCCTTCTAGGTCTTGGAGTCTTGGCCCTTCTCCTAAGTCTGCTGCTTGTTACCCCAGAGAGGAAACCCCACATGATGGATTCTATTGGAATCCCCATTAAACTCCTCCAGCAGCTTGAGCTTGATTTAATAAATATTGTAAGGAAGCTCAGAATCCCCTACAAGCTGTTCTCTGTTCTTGGTGCAGACTTCGGTCCTGCAGAGTGGAAACATGTCTGCTTCATTCCCTGTGGCACCGAGGCTGCTTAGGAGCTCATGTCTTCCCCACTAACTGGGCTGGAGCATGTTCTCCCCACCCCAACACGGAGGGATTTCCATGGCAACTGATGCACATGTGGATGGATCTGTGGCTAAATGGCACTGATTTGACCTATTCTCGGGCACAGTGGGACGGCGTAAATCCATTCACCTTTTCTGTTTCTGCGGTTTCATTTTGTGATTAGATGCCAAATGCTTGTTCTGCTCCTTGTGACCAATCTTGAGGTCGCTAGCCTTTGCCCTAGCTACTAGTCACCCAGCGGTGAAAAGCTAATACGGAGGGTCACCCTGCTCAGGGGACATCCTGTTGAAAAAGTCTGCCACAGGGAGGAGCTAAAATCTAGATTTTTTTTACTCCATAATGCATGGATTCTTGAACACATAGGTACATTTGGAAAATCAGGATATATTTTTAGCCTATCACAGAATGTCTGGAGTATAAGGGAGCCATTTGTTAGTACTTGTTTAAGCTCAAACTCATTGTGCACCTCCTTCATGATCCCGCATCTCCATGTTTATTTATAATATTCACTTGTCTTTAATAGATTATGGGTGCTTTGTGCTCTGAAGGTATCAGTTTTATTCTATTGCCCGATTCCTCTAGCAAATGATGATGCCCCTGAAAGAAGTAGAAAGAGCCTTCAAGTAGCTTGAAAGCTCAGTGTCCATTCAAGTTTTCTATGCTGTACTCAAGATCTTAGAGCACGTTGGTGGCAGAGATGGCAGAGCCCTGACTTAAGGAGCTGGAATCTCTAAGCCTTGTCACTTGCCCTCTCAGTGTCTCTGTAAAAGATGGAGCCAATATCACCTTCTAGGGCACAAGTGATTTTGCAAGGGGCCTGACCCATTCACATGGCCAGAACTTTTGCTAACTCATTCATCTTCTTCAGGGACTTAAGGTGGGAGGATTTCCGAATAAATGCTAGGCTTAGTAAAATAAGAATAACCTTTGTGAGATTTCTTTTGTATTTCTACATAAAGCATTTGTTTTCTTTTCTGCTACTTTAAACTCCTCCCCTTTATTGACTTGTAATTCTCTTCCAAAGGGCAGGCTCTGAGTTCCAGGCTTGGGGAGACAACACAGTGTCGAGCTGAAGCATCCCTTTCCTCTGGAAGTCTTTGCTATTCTGGAACTCCACTGAGAGGCTACTTATCAGATTCCTAGCCCCTTGGTGCAAATTTTCACACTCAGCCATTCCTCTCTCTCTCTCTCTCTCTCTCTCTCTCTCTCTCTCTCTCTGTGTGTGTGTGTGTGTGTGTGTGTGCATATATATATATTTAAAGAAAATCAAAACAAGGTGTCCTCAGAAGATGCTGGCCCACACTGAGACCAGTGGGCGTTTTCTATACCATTGGTAACCAGTGAGCTAAGCACTGGAGAGACTGCAGCTCCACTCACCATAATTCCTTTCATAACTCATAACCTCTCTTATGGTAAAGGGAAAGAGGCCAAGAGCACAAACCTAGTCATTTGCTTTTCTTCTAATTCAAAGTTCATTAATTTGAGAAGCTTTTAGACCTTTTCTCTGGGATTTCCAGCGTTACAGAGAACAGGTTATTTATTTACCTTCTGCTAAGCTCCTGGAAGCCCTGTTTTGATGTGGGAAGAGAGAGAAAGACACAGGCATTCCGATCCTTGCCAATTGTAGAGTTCTCCCTCCTCTGGGCTTGTTAATGCACAGAGAAACTGGGAGCCTGATTTGTAAACACGAATCCCCAGTATCTGGCAGAATGCCTCTGGCGGCACCGGCAGACACTTGTCAGCAGGAAGAGACACTTTGTCATCAGTTGTCCTTGCTGCCTTTTTTCCCCTCAGTCAGGGTGCTCACATCTGGAGGTCCTCCTGGTGAAGGAGGAAATTCTATTCCGTCTCTGTCACTTGGGAACCAGGGGACTTTGGGCAAGTTCCACAACTTCACTGAATCTCAGTCTCTCTATAAAATGGGTACAAGTGTGTACTTTCTTGATGTAGGAGTGTATTTCATGTGTCTGTGTACATGGCTGTGTAAGGGCAGGAGGACACGGAGAACAGAGTCAGTGTTAAGAGTCTTCCTCAATTCCGTTCCATTTTATTTTTGAGACAGAGTTTCTCACTGTTCCTGAAAGTCACCGACTGACTTGCTTGTCAGTGAGTTCCAGACAGCATCCTATCTCTGTCCCCCAAGCGTACAGGGGTTACAGGTAAATACCACCAGGCCAGCCATTCACATAGGAACTGGGGATCAAAACTTAGGTCCTCAAGTGCTTCAAGAACTGAACCATCTTCCCAGCCCCCAAATTATACTTTATTGTAGAGTTAATTTTTTTAATTGAGAAAATATGGGTAGAGAATGCTTACTAATCGGGTTCTTACCCTATTTTTAGGCTTTTGTTCTCAGTCCCTTTGGCTGCTGACCACCCACTCTCTTTAAAAACCCATTTCCATAGTAACAAATATGTACAGGAAACCTTTCAAGCCAAGAGATTGTGGGTTACCCCTCACCCCTTAAAGCTGTGGGACAATGGTCTTTTATCCTATCACTTGTATTATTTTTAATAAAATGCTGACTGGCCAGTAGCCAGGCAGGAAGTAGAGGCGTGGCAACAAGAATTATGGGAAAAGGAAAGATTTAGTCTGTAGTCATCACCCACACACAGAGGGAGCCAGACACAGAGCAAGCAAGATGTGACTGCCTCACCAAAAATGGTACCAAGTCACATGACTAACACAGACAAGAGTAGGCTAATATAAGATGTAAGAAAGAGTTAATAAGAAGCCTAAGCTACTAGGCAATTAGTTTATAATTAATATAGACCTCTGTGTGTTTTCTTTGGGACTAAATGACTGCAGAACCAGGCGGGACACAAGCCC